TGTCATTATGGCGTATTTGGTTGAATTTCATGCGATAACCAAAATATTACTAACTTTTAGAGAAATTACTAAAAAAATTACCAAAAATTTTCAATTACCAAAAAGTCAGAAAAATCATGAAATATTACCAAAAGTAATCAAAATTACCAAATCTGGTCACACTGATTCGTATTTCCATGACTAACATGATGTTAAACGCGAGCGTGCGTTCAGCGTTGGCGTAATTATGAATACTTCATGTTGAAACAATGTTTGCAAAATATTGGCGAGGGGTTGTTGCATACATGTATTTCTAGATTATGTGTATGTGTAAGAACCCTTGTCAATAGGGGCAATAGGGATATTTTGAAAGATTGAGTGACATTTGTGTTTTGTTTTTTCACTCTTTGTCATTTACAAAAACAACAATCCCGCACTATTTTGCTTTCTTTCCACTCGAATGTCGGCTCATTTAAATAAGTAATAATTAAAATTTAGAACTTAACCCAAACAAAACACCAGAATTCAACTTTTCATTCAAATTTCGTCTGATTTTATCAGGTTTTTACTCGGAAAATAAAGAAAAAATATAAAAGTTTGGTAGACCGCGCACGTAAGGGGATTGAGAATGAGGCACTTTCTCGGTATATGAGCAACCGAAATAGGCATACAATACTTTACACATCGCATACCTTAATGTACCTTAGCCTACCTTAGGGTACCTTACCCTACCTTAGCTACCTTAGCCTACCTTAGACTACCTTAGCCTACTTTAGGGTACCTTAGACTACCTTAGGGTACTTTAGACTACCTTAGGGTACCTTAGCCTACCTTAGGGTATCTTAGACTACCTTAGGGTACCTTTGATTACCTTAGCGTACCTTAGCCTACCTTGGCCTACCTTAGGGTACGTTAGCCTACCTTAGGGTACGTTAGCCTACCTTAGGGTACCATAGCCTACCTTAGCCTACTTTAGCCTACCTTAGGGTACCTTAGCCTACCTTAGGGTACCTTAGACTACTTTCGCCTACCTTAGGGTACCTTAGACTACCTTAGCCTACCTTAGGGTACCTTAGACTACCTTAGGGTACCTTAGACTACCTTAGGGTCCTTAGACTACCTTAGGGTACCTTAGCCTACCTTAGCCTACCTTAGACTACCTTAGCCTACCTTAGACTACCTTAGCCTACCTTAGACTACATTAGCCTACCTTAGGGTACGTTAGCCTGCCTTAGGGTACCTTAGCCTACTTTAGCCTACCTTGGCCTACCTTAGGGTACCTCAGCCTACCTTGGCCTACCTTAGACTACTTTCGCCTACTTTAGGGTACCTTAGACTACCTTAGCTTACCTTAGGGTACCTTAGCTTACCTTAGACTACCTTAGGGTCCTTAGACTACCTTAGGGTACCTTCGCCTACCTTAGGGTACCTTAGCCTACCTTAGACTACCTTAGCCTACCTTAGGGTACCTTAGACTACCTTAGCCTACCTTAGGGTACGTTAGCCTACCTTAGGGTACCATAGCCTACCTTAGGGTACCATAGCCTACCTTAGGGTACCTTAGCCTACTTTAGCCTACCTTGGCCTACCTTAGCCTACCTTAGGGTACCTTAGACTACCTTAGCCTACTTTAGGGTACCTTAGACTACCTTAGCTTATCTTAGGGTACCTTAGACTACCTTAGGGTACCTTAGCCTACCTTAGCCTACCTTAGGGTACCTTAGCCTACCTTAGCCTACCTTAGGGTACCTTTGCCTACCTTAGGGTACCTTAGCCTACCTTAGACTACCTTAGGGTACCTTAGACTACCTTAGCCTACCCTAGCCTACCCTACCCTACCCTAGCCTACCTTAGGCTACCTTAGCCTACCTTAAGCTACCTTAGCCTACCTTAGCCTACCTTCCTTAGAGTACCCTTAGCCTACCTTGCCTACCTTAGGGTGCCTTAGGGTACCTTAGGCTACCTTAGCCTACCTTAGACAACCTTAAGGTGCCTTAGACTACCTTAGGGTACTTTAACCTACCTTAGCCTTCCTTAGCCTACCTTAGGGTGCCTTAGGGTACCTTAGGGTACCTTAGGCTACCTTAGCCTACCTTAGACTACCTTAGGGTACCTTAGACTACCTTTCACTACCTTAGGGTACCTTAGCCTACCTTAGGGTACCTTAGACTACCTTAGGGTACCTTAGCCTACCTTAGGCTACCTTAGCCTACCTTAACCTACCTTAGACTACCTTAGGCTTCCTTAGCCTACCTTAGGGTGCCTTAGGGTACCTTAGGCTACCTTAGCCTACGTTAGGGTACCTAAGTCTCCTATAATTGATGTTTATCTGCAGATCACAATGTGTCTACTGGAGTTTCACAGGTCTCAATTTTAGGCCCACTATTGTTTTTGGTATACTTTATCAACTATGTTATAGAGGCAATTGAGCACTCAAGTATTGTCAACTATGCTAATGACACCATTCTGTATGTTGCGGAAAGGATGTAAAATCAATTGAAACCAAGTTGTCGAAAGGATATGGACAGTTTAGCAGACTGGCTTAGGGATAACGAGAGATTATTAATTAATCTAAAGAGAGGGAAAACAGAATCTCTTATTTGGAACTGCGCAAAGGATTGCAAACTTAGTGAACCTCTTAAAGTATCAATATCACATCCATCACCCATTGTTATTACAACAAGAGATTATATACAAATTTCTGGGAGTATTACTGGATAGTTCACTGAATCTAAATTCAAATTTTGAGTCGTGCTATAAACGGGCAGCTGGAAGATTAAGACTGCTGGAAAAATTGAGAATCTACTTGGATCAAGCGGAAGCCAACGCCATTTATTGTTCGATAATATTACCAATGCTTACGTATTGTGGCATCTTACATCTTTAGCTCACACAGACTCAAATAAACAAACTTTCATCTTTCTATGATCATGCGGTGAAAGTTGTTTTTAAATATGGCAATGTAGATCAAGATCATAATCTGCCATCGGCCATTAATGTAAATAAAATTAGGGCATGTTAAATAGCGTTGAAGTGTCTGAACAATGACACCTGTGAACATTTCAAGGACTATTTTACTTTGCAAAATCGTGGTAAACATACAAGGAATAATAGACACCTAGCTTTTAAGATTACTATTATTAAGACTGAATATGTGCGAAGATCATTTTACTACATGGGAGCAAAGGTGTATAACGAGCTCCTACTTGAGATTCATAAAGCTGAGAGTACAAATGACTTTGAGAAACAGCTAAACGAACATTTCAGAAATCCGTGAACATGGACACTCTAACTCTATAGATTTATATTATCTTATCTTTAATTTTTTGTATCTATATTTAGTGCATGCGTAAACACAGGACACACGTTGACAACAGCACTTTTTACTGTTGAAGTGTCTATGCTTCCATTTGAAATGAGATTAAGTATTTACACTTCCTTCATCGTTCCACATTTTCATTATTGTTCTGAAAGCTGGCATTTCTGCAATAAGTCATCTTCCGACAAGTTGGAGAAAGTCAGTGAATGCGCAATTCGTTTTGTCTTTAAAGACAAATCTACTCCATATGAAGAACTGCTTAATAAAATAGGAACTATACCATTGAGACACCAAAGATCTAGAGTTAAGAAAATAATATCGAATGTATATAAATTAATAAACGACTCTAACTCACCGGAAAGCCTGAAAGTCTTTCTAAATCTCAGACAAAGTACATACTTGCTTAGAGGTAAAGATATGTTAAAACTGCCCAAAGTAAATTCGACCACGTATGGACTGAAGTCTTGGCGGTATCAAGCCGCCAAATTGTGGAACGCTCTTCCTGACCTAGTTAGATCGGCAGAGAACTAAAAGGCTTTTAAAAACAGTATAAATGAGATTGACATTGAGCATATTCTGAATATTTCCAATGCATAATTGTGTAAATAGTTATTTAGTTGATTTATTTAGATATATAATAGATAGAAATTGTGGCATTACCTGTAAATTAGCTGAGTGTAGCTAAGCGTAATTGTTTCATGTTAAATAAATTGTATTGTATTGTATTATTATATTATTATTATTATTACTATATTATTCAATTAATTAGTTGTAAAAAAATTAATTAATTATTATTAGAACTTATTTGCTCACTATTATAATTGCATTGATATTTTTAGTGTCCCTTGTTTTATCTAATCGACCCAAAAATCTAATAATGAGGAATTAACTAGCTATGTCAATTTCTGTTAATTATCGTTCAACTTGGTGCTGACTTGGACATGATGTTAATTCTTTGTTTGCAATCGGGTGACTTTTCATCCAAATGACGGGCAATCCAAACAACGTGTGGACGAGAATGGTTGTAGCAAGAAAAATTGGACGGCAATTCATTTTTTGAGTCTTAAATAGTCTCTAAACTCGATCAATACATTCAAAAAGCGTTTTTTTGTTATACCTGCCCATCAACTGAAATCCCAAAATTACGGTCATTGCAAACAAAGAATACTCAATGAACTTTGAAATATTATATGATTTATTAAGCTGGATTTCCACTTGAAAAAAAAATTCGCGATCCAAACTTTTCGCTCGATTTCTTTTGAATTGTGAGCGGTCAAGTAGAACTGATTTATTCGGATTGTCGCAATTCAAAAGAAATCAGGCGAAATATTTCGATGGCACATTTACTGAGACAATTCTGACAGAAAGTGTTTCAATTGTTCTTCAATTGTGCGATACGCCAGTTCCTTAATCCTCCTAATCCTCGACAATTTGTTTTTAACTTGTTTCTCAGTTTTTGGGTGAGCATTGAAATTCTCAAACACTCTTCCAGATTCAGGGATGCTTGCATTGAAATTCTTGGTAAGATCGTGGAGTTTTTGATGTCGGTATCAGCATTCAGTGTTTCTGGATTGGTAACAACATGCTGCATAAAAAGAAAATTTTCTTTGTCCGTCCATTTACAGTATGAGACTTCTTCATTCTCGCTATTCATGTATTCCGCTCCATCTTTTCGCTCTCCACTCATGTCTGTTCGTGCTCTTCATCTTGTTTTAGGTTTATCACTCTTTTCAACAACTATTTTCATACCAAATGGATTGCTGCATTCTTTGCATTTGCATGACTCTCCACAACCCTTCTTGGCACGTAGACAAGGACAGTGAGACGAGTAAGTCCGACCAGATTCCATCTTGCTATCCTTGCAGTTTTCCTTTGATTTCAAAGCTTTCCTGTTCATACCACAGGTGCATTTATTTTCTTTTTCCGCGACGTTCTTTTCATCTTCTTGGGTTTCTAGTTCTTGAAAAGCATCATAGGGTCCAGGTCCGTCTGGTGAGAATGTAATAAATATTTTGTCCCCTACGTTTTTGAATTTGTCGGGTGTTATGGTTATAAAATGGTAGCCCGTTATGCTTGTCAGTAATATCAGAGGCATCAGCTTTAGAACATTCGCTAATGCCTTTACCATCAAATCTCCCATATCTCTGGCAAACACACTTGACCTGTCAAATCTTTCCACCATGTCATCATACTCGTCATTCATGCTTGTTTTGTTTTCAGTTCGTTCGTCATTATACTTCGAAGCCTTTGTGAGATCAAATCGACATTGGAAGTTGATTTAATGCCTAAATAACTGTAGTATTCACTGCTTCCATGCAAAAAGTGTTTTGAAATAATGAAAGCAACCATGTTAAACAAACAGTTTCCGTCCTTCGACATGGGAATGACTTTCATTCTAAAGTAATTATTTTTGTGAAATGATAACCATTTCTGTAAAATATTAGAAGGATTAGAAGGGTTAATAATAAATCAAGGCTGGGTTAATCAAGTTGTTAATTTCGGGATAAACTGCTGTACGTACATTCTAATTTTTAAATAATACGTAGAAGCTTTTGTTTATATTAATTTGTGCTGGAGAGTATGTTTTTAACCATTGAAACGAGTTTTCAACCGAAACGTCCGAAAAAACTATTACAATTGATACATGACAAGGATATAAGCATGTTTTTAGCCAGAGTGTTTTAGACTGCTACATTTTCTATATATGCACGAGTGTTGAGTGTACATTCGTAGTTTTGTACGGTATAAAGTAATAGTTGGTTTAAGTGACGAAATTTATAAACAACAAGCCCAAAATCCAACATTAAATATGTATAGAAAGAAACTGAAGTTTTTCCTGTGCTTGGAGCTATTATTTAACATTTAACATGAAAAAAAAAACACAGAAAGATCATGCACGTACCTGTAATCTGTATACTCCAAACAGCCATTTTAATATATTGATTTGTCCTCAAAACAATACTTCACAAAAAATAAAGATCGCAGAAGATTAATTTCTGCCTTTTGCCAAGTTAATATGGTCAGGTACAAACACTACGTACTAGATGTCCAAAAGGTAAAACCAATAAAGTTGTCATATCACTTTGCATGCATGGTCTTTTCAACAGCATGTAGACGTTGTTCGAACTTCGAAGCCTCTGCCAAACCAGTTCTTTTTCAGTTGAAGTATAAGCAATCCAAGTGCAAACACATATTAAAACCGATCAGCAAAGTGTCCAGCTAACATATAGATAATTGTTGAACATAGTTGGAAAGAAAAACCCCTCTTTTTTACGTTTTAAAATGAACTTCGAGATGAACTTTGCATAGCCACATGCACTTCGAAAGTTCAAAACGATGTGAATAGAATAGCTCGCGCGTGAATAGAATAGCTCTGTGCTGTCATGTGTTCTAGTTTCCTTTGAATTTAGCAAAGGCATGTTCGATATAGGGAGGTGTCAGTTTGAAAAAGGTTTTGGTCAAAACTTTCACTCATATATAGGCATCTTCATTGCAAAACAATAGTTGATGGTTTTCGGCAATTATTTATACTACCCCCCAATTAAAAGCATGGAGTGTGCATCACATCCATCACCTTTTCCACTTGTTTTTTTTTTCAAATCTGATCTGTTTTTCAGTTTAAAATAATACATGGAATCTGTGTCTCGTAAAGTAACTCCTTACACCTTTACAAGAAAATCCTGAGAAGGAAATAACTATTTTAATAAATCTGTATTGATAAATGTCAGCATTCAAAATTTATTGATTTATATCTTTCATTTTATATAGGCTTGTTGAAAAGTATGAATACCATCAAGGTAGTTTTGTTTCTACAGAGTCTATCTTGCATGGTATAAAAGACATGGTCAGAGTCAGAGATTCAAGATAAGTCTATACCGTCAGTTATTGGAAAAATAATTGCCCAAGCATGGGGGAAAAATGTAATCAAATGCAAGGAATCCAGGAAAAATCAGTCGGGGTACAAAAGCCTGCGTATACGATCTATACAGTGCAACAGTAAACTTGAAATTACAAAGTTCGACGAAGAAACTGTTGATGCTATACGTGGAATATGCAACAAAAATGAAGGTTGGATTATTGATGTTGTGTCTCAAGAGAAAAGAGCAATGTCCTTATTAAAAGCTCCTCATTTCAAGCATGAAGAAGAAGGCACATCTATTATTGTGGATGGTCGACATGTTTTAATGGAGCTCAATATCAACCTATATCCCGCAGTGAACATGACTCTATGAACCCACGACAAACCAGTGCCACTTGAAAATATCTTGAATTGTTTTAAAAATGACAGTTCAGTTTCTCTTCATGCCATAGATACTGTACTTCACATCCTTAATGCAGTATCGCTATGTCTAGGAGCAGAAATTCCTTCTCATCGCAATGAGGTCAAAGACAGTGAGTTGCAGCTTCCTGTCCTCGGTTCTCGACTTGCACACGTCGCATTCTCCAATGGCAATGTCGATACAACGTGATTAATTTCATCTTCATGTTTGCTCCTGGTGACCGTTGGTACCTTATGCCATAATTGTGTCTATGCTAACAAGTTACATTGCAATAGAGCAAGCAAGCGGAAGCGTGCCGAACAGACTGAAACCAATTCAAATAAACGCAACGAAAGATATTTGAACAGGAGTGGTTTCACGGTGGGCATAAAAGACAGTGAATTTGGCCAAGTACATATAACTTTCTCTCGTTAGTTTGGAATATCACAAAACTCCCTCACAGGATAGAACTTAACATTCCTAAAAATCGTATGTTTTTTGTTTTTCGATTTTGTTACATTTTGGCGGGAAAATGACGTGCCAACTTTGGCGCCAAAAAATTAAACACGAGCTAAGAACATGCTAGTAACTTTTTCGAAAAGATTGTCCTATAAGAATCTAAAAACTGTAAAAACATTAAAAATACAACAAGGCAGTGCGAAGATATGGCGATTCAAAGTTCTATTTTTACTGAAAAATCAGCCATTTTGTTACTAAAAATAGATTTTTTTCGAACTTTGAATCGCCATATCTTCGCACTGCCTTGTTGTATTTTTAATGGTTTTACAATTTTGAGATCCTTATAGGACAATCTTTTCAAAAAAGTTACTAGCATGTTCTTAGCTCGTGTCTATTTTTTTGGCGCCAAAGTTGGCACGTCATTTTCCCGCCAAAATGTAACAAAATCGAAAAACATACGATTTTTAGGAATGTTAAGTTCTATCCTGTGAGGGAGTTTCGTGATAGTCCAAACTAACGAGAGAAAGTTATATGTACTTGGCCAAATTCGCTGTCTTTTATGCCCACCGACAGAGGTGGGAATCGAATCCGCGCCTTTGGGATACTAGTTCAATGCTCTGCCAACTGAGCTGCGAGGTCAAGTCGGTTCGAGTGTGTGGTATTTCGGAACTAAGTCTATAGTGCATTCGATACCAACGTGTTCTTATGATCATCATATTTTATTTATCATGTTCGATCCGGATAATAATATAATCATATACTCAGTATATTTTATTCATCTACATTTATTTTTATTTTTTCGTAATTTAGAACTTTGTGGGAACCCATGGGTAACGTACATTTCGCCGGAGAAACCTTATCTTTTGCCGCTGGTTGGATTCAAGGTGCCTTGGAGAGTGGCCTCAAAGCCGCATATCAAGTTTATGCCCGTGGCAAGAAGAGAACAACCAGAAAAGAAAAATAATTGACACACGATGTATCTACTGTGATGGACTTCAAATATTGACAGTC